TTTCATAAAGAATTTTATCAACAATTTTTTAAATAATTTAATTCTTTCGACGAATTTTAATCAAATTTTTAAGAATAATTACATTTTTCGAGGAATTCGATTAAAATTGTATAAAAAATAATTAAACTACACTTGATTCTCGTTATAACGACGATCTCGGGACTTCAAAACACTTCAAAATCTCGATATTACGACGGAAGGAGAAATCCTACTTCACGTTCTATTTAAACACATCCCAGGCGCGAAAGACCAATGCTGACGATGGATTGAAGATTTATTGAGCCTTGAACGCCCAGCCTGGGTAACCCAGTGTTGAAGCAGTCTTTATACCACTGTCACTCAATGTTGATTCAGCATTGGACACCAAAGTTCGTTCCATGCTCGATTCAAGACTCGGTCAATCTTCGTGAGTGAAGCTCGAACATCTGATCTTAATTCAAGCCTGAATCAATCTTGACAGTTTATTTATTGACGTGTGCACTTAAAAATATTAAATATAAATATTTATAAATTAATTAATATTAAAATATTTTTTATGATAATTTTGTATACTATTTAAAAATTATTATTATTATTAAGATATCAAGTGGTAAATAAATATTAATATTTATTTAGTGTATAATATTTATATTAATTATTAATTTATTAATAATAATAATAATAATTATTATTATTATTAATATAATAATAATATAATACAATAATAATAATTATTATTATTATTATTATTAGGTATTATTATTATTATAAGAATAATAATAATTATTATTATTATATTATTTATTATTAGATATTATTAATTATATAAGATTCATATAAATAAAGTTAAATTATATATTATTTTTTTTCTTGCTCAGTGTCAAATTATTGTTTTCAAAGTCCAAGAGTTTCGTTTGTCTAAAAAATTTTCAGTAAAAAAATGTTCATTAGTGTGTAATAAATATTTATGCCTAGTAGTTGTACACTAGGATCAACTGTTTAGTAAATATTATCAAAAAACTATTTTTTGTCAAACGCGTGCGACTAAATGCAAATAACCTTGAGACTTTAGCATTGCCAACTCAAGAGTTGAGTTGGTAATGCTGGAGTTTCAAGGTTATTTGTGTTTAGCTGCGCGTGTTTGCTAAAAAATATTTTTTTGATAATATTTACTAAACAGTTAATCCTAGTGTAAAAACTACTAAGCATAAATATTTATCACTACCTAATGAACATTTTTTTCACTAATAATTTTTCAGATAAACAGTCATAATTTTTCAAAGATAAATATCTTTGAAAATAATAATTTGACATTGTACAAGAAAAAAAATAATATATATAATTTAACTTATAAAATTATCATAAAAAATATTTTAATATTAAATAATTTATAAATATTTATATTTAATATTGTTCAGTGCATACGGTAATAAAGAAAGTGAATACTGTATCAAGATTGACCGAGTCTTGAATCGAGCATGGGACGAACATTGGTGTCCCATGCTGAACAAATATTGAGTGACGCGCCGTATATACAGAATATACGGCGCTGGCATTGAAATAGTAGATTAGGCGAGGTGCCTTCCAGCCTTCTGTGGCCGAGCGGTTTAAATGCGTGCGTTGAGAACTTCCAGTATGCGTTAGGGGCGGGGTACGTGAGTTTCGATCCCACATGCGAGCGAATATTTTTCATTCTTTGTTTTAAGCGTTTATATATAATAATAAACTTGTGTGTTGTGTTGTGAATAAAAAATGTGAATATGTTTGTAAATAATATTAAAAAGTCTGCTGAAAAATCGAGAAAAAAATGTACCGATTAACAGAAAAATTGTTTTCTTTTACTAAAATTATTTTTTTAATATTACTATTTTAAATGACATTTACTGTTAGTAATATATTATTTATATGAAAATAATATAATTATTATAATAGTAACTTAATGCCATTAAATTAACAAACGCATATAATATGAATAAAAATAATAACAATAATATTCATTACTATTATAATAATAGTAATTATTATTATTATTATTAATATTATTATTAATATTATATACAATTCATATATTCGTATTATATTGAATGGGCGCGAGAGACGCGTAAATTTGAGAACAGTGGAAGCAGCCTTGTTTCAGTCCTGCATTAGGGTTCCGCAGCATTGATTGAACATTGAACGCGAATCTTCAACAAGGACTGGAGCGTCAGTCTTAAATAAGTGTTACATTATATAGCTAGAAACAACCTTCGTTCCGCCGTCCCACCAAGGCTTGATCAATGTTGACCAAGCCTCAACGAAGGTTCCGTAAAGCCTGAATCCACCGTCAGTTCTCACCTGGGATGAATTTATCTGTGATTAACAGAACAAAACGTCAAATACGTGTAAAAAATTTCGTAAAGTATGTTTATTTAATTATTAAAAGTTTCTGCATTATGGAATCAGTTTAAAGAAAAAGTAAGAATTTTTAATAATAATCAGATCACTAGATTCTTTAGGTTAAATAAAGTTAAGGTTTGATTAACTTAGTCGTTTTCTTTGAGTTAAACAAAATTTTGGTTAAATTAAATTCTTAAATTCGTTCGTGTTTTTTTTGTCGTTGTATCGAGAGTTTTAATGTTCGTTGTAACGAGATTCGTTATAACAAGATTCGAGTTTACTGCGATGAGTTTTATTATTTATGAAAATAATAAAATTCATGAGAACAGTTTTATTATTTATAAAAATAATTGAATTATTGCGAAAAAATTTATAAATAATTTGTAAATAATTGATATTCTGGGAAATTTTTTTTATTTATGAAAATAAATTTGTTTGCGTAGAATTTTATTAAAATTTTTTTAAATAACTGAATTTCAGCGAAGAATTTTGCTGTTTATAAAGATAATTGAAATCATGACGAGAATTTTTTTTTAATTTTTGAATTTCAGAATTTTCAAATTCATTTGTTTACAATTCAATTTTACAAAATTTCAATTATTCGTAAATTCTTCAATTAAATATATATTAGAAAATAAAAACTTTAAATAATTTTTAAAAAAACCGCAATTAAAGTTTCTCAAAAAAAATTAATTCCACAGAATTGTTAGTTATAAATATCAAAACTTCAAATTTTCAAAGATTTTAATCTGAAATCTTGTCAAAATTCAATTATTTCTAAAAATTTACGCTCTAATGCTTTTAAAATTCAATTATAATCTAAAATTTTAACTGAAATCTATTTTTAAATCAATGTTTATGAGAAAATTCTACTAGAATTCTATTATTTAAATACAAAAAAAAAAACAATTTATTGAATAATAATTGTATTAAAAATAATTGAAATTCTGCGATGAATTTTATTATTTATGAAAATAATTGAATTCATGTAAAAAATTGTATTTATGAAAATAATTGAATTATTGCGAAGAAATTTATAAAAAGTTGTAAATATAATTGAATCACTGTGAATTTTTAATTATTTATGAAAATAATTAAATGTTTGCGTAGAATTTTATTAAGATTTCTTTTAAATAATTGAATTCTTTTAGAAAATTTTATTAAAATAGTAGATATATTGAAAATCATTGAATTAAGGAAAATTTTTGAAAATAATTAAAATTTTCCCAAGAATTTTATTAAAATTTTTGAAAATAATTAAATTTCGGAGAAAAATTTTATTATTTTCAAAGATAATTGAAATTTTGACGAGAATTTTTTTGAATTTTTGAACATAATATTGAATTTCTGCGAAGAATTTTATATATTTAAGTAAACTTATTCATTAAATAATTTATGTCATAATTTTATGATAGTTCTTGAAAAATTAGTGAAAAATTAAGTAATTTAAAACTAAATTATTGTCAGAAATAAAAAAAATTTAATGTTTTGTATTAGAATTCGTTGTTATTTCATAGATTATGAGACAAACAAAAACGAACATCAAAATTCATTGTTATCTTATGAATTTTAAAAATTCAATTTTTTCCAGTACTTTTACTAAAAATCCCTGACTTTTTTATAGCAGATGCTATAAAATTAACAGTACCAATTGTAGTCATACTTATTTAAATTAAAGATGTTAGGTATTGTCATGTTGAAATTAATTTTTCAATAAGAAAGTATATTTTCTACTATTTAATAGTATTTGCATTTCATATAAAAATATCATGCTGTAAACTTCAAGAAATACTTTATTCAACAATGATAAAATTACAGTCTAAAGAAGATTTATAAAATAATGTAATTAGGTTATTAAACATTTTTCGCCACTGAATATACCTACTTGAAAAATTAATTTTTTCTCTCACAAGCGGTATTAATTTCATCACTTTTGTACATAAGGGAATTGAAATCAACATCATTTAAATGTATTATGATTGTATGCAGTGTGTTAAGTTCATATTGCGATAAATTGTGAGTTTAGGTCAAGTTGTGAGCTTCTATCTCAAATTATGTATGTTGTGCGTTGAACCACAACAAAGTGTAGCTTGAAATAGGTATTAAAGAGCAAAGATATGTTTATTTCTTGAAACATTTTTTGTAGAAAAGCAACAGTTTTTATAATTGAAATTAATGCTATAAATTGAATGCTCTTTAAAATTGATAGCATGATTGAAAATGAAATATAAATAGAAATAAAATCATTAGTACACGCTATTGAAATGATTTAATTATACCTACGAAATGCATTTCTTCATATTATATCATTTTCTATTAACACTATAACTTGTGTAATAATATAATACACGATTTATTTAAATCTATAGTGCAATAACAATATCACATGTTATTAAACCAACAGTATTTATATTCGAACGATATTGAATTGATATCGACAAATGTTATTGATTCGATAGCATTTTTTTCTCAGTGCATATTTTCTATTTCTTTGATGTGAAAATTTTTCAAAAATACACTTTTCAAACATAGATATTTATGAGTCAGTTGGATATCAATCATCAAGGAAAGAAATGGCATTGTACGAGAAATGTACTCGTCATTTAATTGAGACAATGACAAATTTGAAACGGAAGATGATTGTGAGTGTTGAATAATAATGATAATTATTTAACAAGAAAACCTCGTTTGTTGTAATGTTCTCTTTTGTGACGGGAGAGATTTTTATCTTTAGTCTAATTGCCACATGTTAATTAAGCTTACATTACAGACTCAAGTCAGAGCACTGAAGAAACTGGAGCACAAACTGATTGGCATAAAGTGCAATGTGACCTTGACGAAGAGTGAGGAGGAACTTTTTTCTAGGTCAGATGAGACAAATTCAACAGTGTGCTGTACATTGATTCGTGAATTCAGCCATCAAGTACAACATCTCAATAGAATTCTCAATTTCTGGACTGATTTTGATAATATGCTCGAAGAATTTCTATCGAATGAACTCTACATTCAGAATAAAGTATAAAACTTTTTTATTATTTTGAAATGAAAAAGTACCTGTTGACAAAGATTTTACCAAGCGCAAGGGTTCGTTAGAAGGATTACATCAAAAAATATTTTAACTAACGAAAAATGATTCGTTTTTTATTCACATTTTTCCCGTGGGTTTATATTACTTTTTTTGAACTTATTCTAAGAACATTTTATCTTGTTTTAAAGATGAAAATTTTGTTGCTGGAGAATAATTTCACTGAAGAAGTTATCATGAGTATTTTCAAGTTTTAATATAAATGACTTTTGACAGTTATCTGATCTCGACTCGATTGTTTGCTGTATGACTCGAAAAACAAAGGATTTCGAGGAATCCGAAGTGGCAGAGGAAAACTGTGTCCACCAAGAACGAAAACAATTCTTACAAAGATCTGAAGAACGTCAAACGATCTTAAAGGATCTTGTGAATGTAAAGAATTTTTATTTTGCTTTTACAGGGAGAAAATTCTTTTGCGAGAAAGAATTTTTTCATTTTAATTTTATATTTCTTGTGTAAACAACAACATTTTGGAAAAATAAATATACATACTTTAGATGTTTGTTGTATAAGAAATTTTAAATTTTGCAAATCGGGTAATTTTGAGAAAAAAGATGAGTTTAAAAAATTGCTCCTTGTAATTTAAAATTTTTAATCTTAATTTTTATTATCGTTGACAACTGAATGCAGGAGAAACTCTGTTTAGTCTTACTCAAAGTCTGAGGACCGGGATCACTCGATAAGGGATAAAAGAAGGATGAGAGAAAAGACACTCGACAAAGAGCGACTGATGGACAGAGCTGCTTTGAAACTCGCTTTAAAGCGGATGATGCGGATAATGGGTGCACCGGAAATTCAGAAGACTTCTAGTTTGACAAAGAGAGAAAAATCACCATCTCAAATCGGTGTGACAAAAGTTTAAGTTTCATCCAAGTTTGCGCCACACATTGAGAGTAATTTAAGTATGTAGTATAATTGCAGACTTCGCACTCGAAAATTAATTTTAAAAAAGTAGCTTTTAAACTAAAAAAAGTAGCAAAAAAAGTAGCTATCGAAAAATTAAACTTGATGACTAAAAAAACTCGTTTTAGACACTTCACAAAACTGAAAAAAATTCCCATTCTATATTTTATTTTCCTGACTTTTTCCTAATTTTCATCAAAAATATTTACTTCTTTCTTATCCTGCTAATAAATTGAATTCCTGCAACAAATTTTATTATTCATAAAAGAATTTAAATATTTATAAAAATAATTTAATTCTTGCAAAGAATTTTTTAAAATTTTGTAAAGAATCCATTTCTATCCACTAATTTTATGCAAATTCTAATTTAAATAATTGAATTCCTGAGAAATTTCTATTAGTCATGAAAAGTATTGAATTCTTATAAAGATTTTTACAAAAATCTTTTTAAATAATTGAATTTTGTTTGGAAATTTTTTGAAAATGGTAGATATTGAAAATCATTGAATTGCAAAACGTTTTTAAAAATAATTAAATTTTACAAAGAATTCTATTAAAACATTTGTCAAAAATTGAATGTCTGTGTGGTATTTTATAAATTTTTTTTGAAAATAATTGAATTCATAAAAAGCTTTTAATTATTTATGAAAATAATTGAATTCTTGCGAACGATTTTATTAGAATTATCTAAAATAATTGAATTTCCAAGAAAAAATTTATTATTTTTAAAAATAATTGAATTTCCAAGAAAAAAATTATTATTTTTAAAAATAATTGAATTTCCAAAAAATAATTGAATTCTTGTGACGAATATTGTCATTTAAGAAAATAATTGAATTTTGCAAAGAATTTTATTGAAATGCCTCAAAATAATAATCTAAAAGAATAATTGAATTATTTAAAAAAAATGCAATTAAAATTGTACTTAAAATAATTGATTTCTTTCGAACAATTTTATCAAAATAGTTAAAAATAATTGAATTCCTGTGAAAAATTCTAATATTTTTGTAAATAATTGAATTCTTCTAAAGAATAAAAAAAAACATTTTTTTAAATAAATTATTTTTTCGAGGAATTGAAATTAAATTTTTGAGACTAATTATATTTCTCGTAAAAGTATTAAAAATAATTGAAATTCTGTTATGAATTTTATTATTTATGAAAATAGTTGAATTATTGCGAAAAATTTTATAAACATGTTTAAAAAGAATTGAATTTCATTGAAAAATTTTGTTATTTTTTAAAAAAATTGAATTTTTTATAAGAATTTTATAAACATTGTTTTGAGGAATTAATTTTTTCGAAATATTTTAAATATTATGAAAAGTTTATTTTAAACAATTGAATTTTTGGGGAAAATTTAATTTGTAAAAATAATTGAATTTTTGTGGGAAATTTTATTTGTGAAAATAATTGAATTTTTGTGGAAAATTTTATTTGTGAAAATAATTGAATTTTTCTGTTAATTAATGTAAAATAGTATTAAAAATAATTGAAATTCTTCGATGAGTTTTATTATTTATGAAAATAATTTAATTCTTGTGATGAATATTGTTATTTATGAAAATAATTGAATTTCGCAAAGAATAGTATTAAAATGACACAAAATAATTGAATTTTTGGGAATAATTTTGTTATTATCGATATAATTGAATTCTTCCAAAGAATGTAAAAAAAAACATTTTTTTTTAAAAATTGATTTTTTTGGGGAAATTAAATTAAATTTTTAAGAATAATTACATTTCTCGAGTAATTCCTGTAAAATTATATTACAAATAATTGAAATCTTGTGATGAATTTTATTATTTTTAAAAATAATTGAATTGTTGCCAAGAATTTTATGAAAATTTTCAGAAGTAAGTGAATTCCTGCGAAGAATTTTATTGTTTACGAAAATAATTGAATTATTGTAAAAAATTTTATAAAAATGTTTAAAAAGAATTTAATTTTATTCAAAAATTTTGTTATTTTAAAAAATAATTGAATTTTTCAATAAGAATTTTATAAATATTGTTTTAAGGAATTAATTTTTTTGAAATATTGTAAATATTATGAAAAGTTTGTTTTAAATAATTGAATTTTTGTGGAAAATTTTATTTGTGAAAATAATTAAATTTTTTTGGAAAATTTTGATTTGTGAAAAGAATTGAATTTCTCTGTTAATTAATGTAAAATAGTATTAAAAATAATTGAAATACTTCGATGAGTTTTATTATTTATGAAAATAATTGAATTCTTGCAACGATTATTATTACGATTTTAAAATAGAATTGAATTCCTGAGAATAATTTTATTGTTTATAAAAATAATTGAATTCTTCAGTATAATTTTATAAAAATTTTGTTAAATAATTGATTTTTTCGAAATTTTTTTAAAATGCTATTTTAAATTAATTAAATTCTTGTGGAAATTTTGTTATTTATAAAAATAATTGAATGTTGGATGAATTTTATCAATTTTTATTTTAAATAATTGAGGGACTGGCCATTTTAAGTAAATGTTGCGTAATATTGAAAATAATTGGATTTCGAATAGTTTTTTGAAAAGAATTGAATCGTTTTAAAGAACTTGATTATAATTTTTGAGAAAAGTTTTTTGATTTCTAGTATTAGCGAATTTAAAGTAGTGAAAATTCTAAAAAAGAAACAGAAATAGTAGCTTTTAGTGAATGAAATCTAAAAAAAGTACCCAAAGGCTAGAATAACGTAAAAACGTAGTAGGGGAGAGTGGGGCAAAGGCGCTATGCGGGGCAAAGACGTTTTTTAAAATATCTCCTTTATTTTCTGTCTATTCCAGTTGGTATTAAAAATTTAGTTTTAATGCAATCAGACCAATTGATTAAAAAAAAAAACCTAAAAATATCAAATATTTTAAGAAATACACGGAAAAAAAAAGTTCCCAGATATTTCAGGAATTATTTCCTAACTCTTGGATACGTGGTAACAGCTCTGAACTAGCGTCGAACATTCAATGGTAATCAATGAATGTTTGAAAGAAATTCGGGAACTGTATTAGAAAACGCTGTAAATAGTCCAATAGTCTTTTTTTCATTTCTTTCTCATGTAAAGTCCATGGCACTGGCCGCAACTGTTTCTGAAATTTTCGGGAACTCGTCAAGGAATCTTGGTGCGCAGAAACTGTGCGCACCAGTCTCAACAAGTCTCACAGTCAGTAAGACTTGCGTGCCTTATATATTTATTTTATGCTGAGGTATTTAACGCTCCTGTTTAGCTCACGTGGATAAGACGCCGGACTTCTATTCCTCGGGTACGCGAGTTCTGTTCCAGCCGCCGTCGATTTTTCCCTCATATGGTTTTTTCTATTTCAGAAACTTAATAAAAAATAAAAATTGTATGTGATCTTCAAGGATAAATGTGTGTGTGTGTGTGTGTGCGGACGTGTCAAGGAGGGGAAGTGGGAGGGGGGAAGCAGAATCCATTTTTTCTTGCATTCGCCTAACTTTTCGATTTTCTTGAACAGTTCCCGACTTTTTCAAGAACAGTTTGCCGAGAAGTGGTGAAATAGTTATAATTTGTAGAGAAATAGTAAATGACATATTTAAACGAGGCAACCTTTAGTTCTCTGTGAACTACCCGCCGTATCCAAGAGTTAAGAACGAAGTTCCCGAATAATCATCGAACTTTTTTTTTCCGTGTATAACAAAAAATTTGTTTTCCAAAAATAAAATGATAATTTTACTGAACAAACTCTTATTTTTTAAAACATAAGTTTAGGTATTTAATTTTTAAAAACATAACATGTAAATAAATTAAATATTTCTCTACACAACTGGCGTGGTGTTTTAGTTTAATTTTGTATCTAAATATTTTAAATTTAAAGTAAAAAAAAAAGTTTGTTATGTGGGGCAAAGGCAATATTGAACATAATTTGGTTAAAAACAATTGAATTTTTGAATTTTCAATGTATTAATTCACAATATAAGATAAAAATCACTAAAAGTTTTTATTTTTTATTTAAATAGTTTAATTCTTTTAATAATATGTTCTTAACCTTATGTTTCATAAATATTATACTAATAAATATCACTTGTTAATTTTTTTAAGGCTTATAAATGCTTTCTTTTAGAAATATGTATAGTCGAAAACGTCGCTGCCCCAGCGTGTGGGGCAAAGGCACTTTTTGCATTGGTTTTAAATTTCATTAAATAATGTATTTATAATTATAATATACTAAATAACAACTATTAAAATTTCTTGTTGATTAGTTTTAGAATAATGAAATACAAAGACCGCATAAATTAATTGCTTAATTTAAAAAATATACATCGATAAATGTAAACCTAGCGCCTTTGCCCCACTCTCCCCTATGTATTAGGTTTTAGTAGATGAGTGCGAAGCCTGTAATTGATTTACTGTCAGTCTATTTAAATAATTATGTTTAGCATTAATGTCATGTTCATAATTAATGACATGTTTAATATTTCTGACGTGTTTAACATTTCTAATCACCTTTTGAAAAAATTGATGTACTTCTCTTGAACCAAAGGGAAATGTGAATGGATATTAGATGCATGCAAGGCCTAATTTCAGTTTCCAATTTGAATTTAAATGTAGATAGTTTGAAGAGGCACGCAATAGTTTCTAGGAATTGTCGAGATGATACAGAGCTTTCGAAGAGAAAGGAAGATTCGAATCTGAAGGTTGAGGAGATATTGCAACCACATAATGGATGCGAATGCAATTTGAGATTTTCTTCACATACTCTAGACGACTCGATCACAACTGTTCAAGACGAGAAGCCTCGAGTTGTAAGCTGCAAGAAATTTTTCTGGTGGAAGCGAACTAAAAATAAAATTAGAGAAAACAGGATGGCTGCATTTGGAAGAAAGACCGCAGGCGATATATGCAAAGGCGGCATCTCCAAATGACTTTTTTTTAGTTCCACTTGTTTCTAACCTTTCGAGATATGAAAAAAGTTTTATTCCCTCCTCTGACAAAA